GCATAAATGTGGCCTTGCAGAAGCAGAAGATGAACTGGTTTGTTATTATTCGTGTGTGAGGCAAAAAACACTTCTCTAACAGGTAAAAAAAAGAACCGCAACTAATGAAACTTGATTAACCAGATACATCAATTGAAAATAGAACATCTTTGTTAACATGACTGAAAATGACTAATTTTAGAATATTTGAGCTACTCTCCATGAGCAAAAACAAACATGAGCTGAATGTATGTTTAAAAGTAGCCAAATTGTGTGTTTTAGAATAAAAGCATGACAGCATTCATCGCATCTGAGAGCATAGTTTAATTCTGTGCTTTTTTTTTTTTTTTTTGCTTTTAGAAATGTTAGCAGCCCAATTAGGGGTCTGATATTTATTTATAAAAACGTTTGATTTGAGCGAGAACGAAGCTTGAAATTCATTGTTAGTTTTATTTGTTCTCTTATGGACAAAGCAAATGTTGCTTAGTGTTACAAGATGTATAATCGACATTTTTTGCCATGTTCCTGGGCTTCCCTGACTGTTAGAGACAAACTGAAACTATTTTTTATCATTGCAGAATAGTTTATGGTTAGAGTAATGTCATTTCAACCTAATGAGCTTAGTATTTACCTCACGTTAGATCACTGTTCACACTCTGTTGCGTTCTGACCATTTTCACCCACAGTGGGCGCTCTGGTCAGCTGCCGGCGGCCACACCAGAGAGCGAGCCACGTTGCCGTTGACAATGACTGTTTTTTGTGTTGTTGTTTTTTTTTTCAGACTTCTGATTGTTTTATGAGGCAAAAAAATTGTGGAAAAGAAAAAAAAAGACTGAAAATGTTTTATATCAGAATTTTAAAAATGCTTTAATAAATTATTGTATTTGAAATGTTGTCTGTGTTGTAATTTATACATGAAAATGTCTGAATATCAAGCTTTAAAGGGCTCATATTACAGTGCATTTTTAAAAATGATGCCTCCAGAGCATGGTTTTACAGTTTGAGCAGGAAAATTCCTCTCAAATTAGACGAGCGGCATGTGCCGATAACCTCCCCCTTCACCCCTCTCTGGAACGAGCTGTTTTGGCTTTCTTCGTCCTCCCGAAGGATGTACCCCAACACCCTGCAACAACAACAACCAGTCAGAGCTCATAATGATGGCAGACAGAAGAACAGAATAATAAATAAAAAATGAAAAAAAACACATAACAGGATCAGCTTGACAATCATAAATTAATGTCTCATTGCCATTAATTTATGATTTTAAAAACACTCATACACATTTTTTATTCCATCAACATATGGACAAATCTCACTCTAATCATCTCAGTACAGAGCATTCCTTCTACATACGGAACGATCCAGTTTTTCATGGGAGCTTGAAAACCTAGATTATAAACAACCTTAAAATAAACAAACATGTGATGCTATAGCCTCTTTTTGCTGTAATAAACTAACCAAGCAGCTACTGAAAAAGGGTAGACTTGCTGCATACGTCAATGTGAGGGATTTGCACAAACCAGCCAGAAAACCACTGAAATCTTTCAAAAAAAGTCTTAATTTATTCCCAAAATGTTAAAATATATATATATATAAACTGGGCCCAAAAACAGAGGTCAAGAAAACAGAATTCAATTCAGGCTTTAAAATAAAGAACTAAAGCACAAACTGACCTAACAAACAGGACATGAGGGAAACTCAAATAGTGGCTGATCAGACCACTGTTGACACACAAACTAATAAACAAATAAACTTAATTAAACAGATAAATACTGGCCAGACACAAAATTCTTTAAATTTAACTAATTAACAAAATTATATTTTGTTAATTATATTTAAACAAATTTCCCTTCAAATTACAAATGGTTTGACCCGCTGATTAGCCTGCAACCATCAATTGAGGAAAGGTGGAGCTCATTGTAGCCCTCCATCAGCAGATCCCAAGGAAACTAGCAACTCAAAGAAAAAAGAAATCAATCAGTTGCAACTTGACAAAAAAAACAAAAAAAACCTGAAAAATAAAGTTTACTAAATGTGTGCACTGCAAAAAGTTAACTTAAAGTCAGGCTAATGAAAATTTATGAAATGTGCAACTGATTTTGGAAATAAAAAATGTAAAAGTTACCACACAGCTTCAGAGTGTGACTGCAGGCTGTCACAGTCATGTAAGGAAAAGGCTGTTTGTAAACCACAGAGAAGATTATCCATGTATATAAAAAAAAAAAAAAAAATCAAAACAGCTGAGGACACAAACGTTAGCTGCATTTCTAACGTGTTTGCGGGCTAAACATTCCAACACAGTAAAGTTGTTTCCGGCTCTTGCTTTAAAAGCTTTGTTTACACTTCTGGCCTTAATGCTCAGTTCTGATATTTTTCTGTGAAATCCAATTGCTTTGCATGGTTGTTCACGTTTCCAAATATATGCAACTTGTATGTGATCTCCCGTCTGAACTGCATGCATGCATGCGAGTGTGCTCTTTGTTTGTGGAAGTAACCATGAATGGTAGTGCTGAAGCTCATCTTTCATTTCTTAATCAACTGGAGCCGGCGCATTTACAACGCTTTTCAAGACTGACGTTCAGGTCAAATGAATGCGGCCTGTTCAGACACAGGTCGCACTGGAAAAGATCAGATGTGTATCGAATTTAGGACGACATATCCAAGTGGCCTTGGTCGCATTTGAAAAAAAAAAATCTGAAAAAAATGTGTTGTTTAGAAAAGATCAGATACAGGTCGCATATGGGCAAAAAAAATCAGATTTGAGACCCTTCATACGGGAGTGTGAATGGAGCCTCACCATGTCTGGTTGGATGCTGGGTGTTGGTGAGCAGAGAGTGCCTGATGTCCCCACCTGACATCATAAAGGGCTTGAGCATTTTCAGCACACATTAACTATGAGGGGGAAAAAAACAATGAGAAAGGGTAAAGCTTTTATTTTTTTCATTTGTAAACCTCGTACACAGGTTGCAGGACACCTATGACTATTAGAAAATGTTTTTAAAGTGAGTTTTGCAAAATATGGGACCTTTAAACATGAATAAGTTACAAAAGACTGATAAATATTAAACCTTAGTTAACTTCTTATTCTCTGGCGACCTGTCCAGGGTGTACCCCGCCTCTTGCCCGTATACAGCTGGAGATAGGCACCAGCACCCCTCACCACCCCACTTGGGATTAAGCATGTAAGAAGATGGATGGATGGATGGATGAAACTTCTTATTCTCTCATATATTTCATTTTGTTTGTTTTTTTTACCAGAAAAAATATATAAAAAAAATCTCTTTTATCAAAAGTTTATTTATTTTTGTATCTCAGAGCTAAAACATATGGACTGACTAACTGTGGAAAAAGTTATATATTTAATATTTTTATTTCTATTTATTTTGAGGATTATGACTTGCAGCCAATGAAAACTCAGATTTTAATTTCTTGAATAATATGATGACATTAAAGCAAAAAAGGAGAACAAATACATTGCTAAACCAGAAATGTTACTTAATAGCCTAGTCAGTCATGGAGAAGGCTGCTGACCAGACAGTTAACAGAGATTCACTGACACCCTCTATTAGACGCAAAAGCTAAGAGCCAAAGAAACTCGCTGTTACCTGATGGGTTTATCTAACAATATTGCAAAAATGTTTAATGTAAGGAAACCATAAAGGCAAAAAAAAGAAAACACACAAAAGACAAGGATAACTGCAGTCTTGAGAGTTTTGTGATGGGGTGGTGGCCTAGTGGTTAGGGCATTGCGCTTGGTATCCCGGGGTTCTGAGTTCCAGCTCCTTTCCCATAGACTCCCACTCTTGGACCCTGAGCAAGACCCTTAACCTCTGATTGCTCCCCAGGTGCACCATGATGGCAGCCCACTGCTCCCTAAGGGGATGGGTTAAAAGCAGAGAGTAAATTTTATTGCTTTGTACTTGTGACTGTAATGACAATAAAATAGCAGGGGAAAAAATGAAACATAATCAATATGTTTCATTGTTTGAACTGAATAACAACAGCAGTTTAACTTTATTTAGACACACACTGGGTTATTGAGACGTCCTTTATTATGATAAAGAATACTACACTCCTTATATAGGATTCTTCACATCCGCCAAAGGAAACACCTTTCCAGACTTCACAATTTTTTTTAAAAGCTTTGAAAATCAAAATGAAAAAGATTAACATGGAGGAAAATTTTATATTTGGCATGTTTTACACATCACTGTTAAAAAACCCAAAACTGACAGAAAAGATTAGAAAAAAAGGGAGCAAGAATATTTATCTATAGTGGTGCGACCATGGCTCAGGATATAGTGGTTCATCCTGTTACTGCTGTCAGTCTGCTCCAGTGCAGCTGTGGCTAAACTGTAGCTCACCACCAACAGCTTGTGAATAGATGAATGACTGAATGTAATATGAAGTGCTTTGGAGTCCATGCACTTGCTAAAGAGCTATACAAGTACAGCCCATATACCTCCAGTAATGAAATCCTGCTTTTAAAAATGTTGTTTGTTTTACTTTAGGTTGTTTAAAAAATGTTTAATGGTTTACCAAGTACAGGCCATTATTTATTGATGAGCATGCACACAAAACTCAAAGAACAGAAACAGGATTATTCACTTTGATCTTTTAGTGGTTTTATTTAGGAGAGTAGACACAGTAGATCACCGATTTTGGCAGAGAGGGACTCTTAACTCATGTTATTGCAAAGTATCCATTGTTTAAAGTTACAGTCAGACATACCTCAGTCAGCCAATCATCTTTAGGAAAATGTCATTTCAGTCTCAAACTTGTGGGTTATATGACTCTATGGTTTGCCCTAAATTGGTTCATCATGGGCCCTGTAATTTAAAATGAGTAAAGTTCTCATTTTGTACAATTAGGTTTTTATTAGTTTGCAATCCCTTGCAGAAAATAAGCATATTGCTGGTTTTAAACTAAGCGTTTATTTCACCCTATAAAGTATCATTATGTTTGCAGCTGTTTAATGACAGAAGAGTCAGCTGCTCATGACGTCATAAAGCAGACGTCCAGCCTTCACTTTGCCTCCTCACAAAAGCATTTTTTCCTCTCTACTGATCGCTAGTGGCACCATGTTCGGCTTTTTTAGCTCAGCTTCGTCTTTCTTTTCTTTCTTTTCTAACATCTGTTTCGTTGTGTTCATTATTGCTGCAGCAGATGCGGAGACTACAACGCCTTCCCCTGCTCCGGGTAAGCTTTCTTCACTTTTCTGAGTTTTTTTTTTTTTTCCTGCGCGGTCTTTGTGGTCAGGAGGTTGTCACATGACATCAGCAAATTGGTTTTAAAGTAAGGAAATGCAAAGATAAGCGATTTAGGTAATTATTTTTTGTCATTAGCTTTTTTTAAAAACTGGGTTCTTGTTGCTTTTGGCAGTTAAAGTTGTTGGTCAGTCTGGGTCAGCATCAACCCAAACTGGCTACAAAACACTCCAACTTTTACAAGCTTCTTTATAGGGAAGAGGATTAGGGCCACTGAAAAAATAAAAAGGTAACTGTTTTTTTTTTTTTTTTTCCTTTTTTCCAGTTTAATATGAGAAAAAAGTCAGAATTCTGACTTTAATCTCAGGATTGTGACTTTTTTTCTTAGACTTCTGACTTTTTTTCCTCAGAATTCTGATTATAATCTCAGAATTTTGGATCTTAATGTAGGTGGGCACCATAAAGAAAGAGATTTGGGAGCACTCCTCTTCTTTGTATGGAAGAGGATTAGGGCCACTAAAAAACAAACAAAAAAAAAACAACAACCGATTTTTACATTTTATTTCAGTTTAATATGAGGAAAAAAGTCAGAATTCTGACTTTAATCTCAGAATTCTGACTTTAATCTCAGATGGACACCATGAAGGAAGAGATGTGGGAGCAAGCAGCTTCAATGACAAAGATGTGAGTGGTTTGGGAGGGCTGATAACACATTTGTGGAAAATAATGCAATTAGGCAACTTTTTACGTGCTCAAGGGGTCCCTGGTGATGCTATTTCATTAATGCAGGAGCAGAAGGTCATTAAAACAAGAGAGCTAGTCTCTAAAACAGACATGGCTACAGCTTGATGCTAACATGTTTGTTAGCTGTCAGAATTAAGTAAGAATTCAGAGATTAAAGGCAGAATTCTGAGAAAAAAGTCAGAATTTTGAGATTAAGGTCAGAATTCTGACTTTTTTCTCATATTAAACTGAAACAAAATGTAAAAATCTGTTGTTGTTTTTTTGTTTTTGTTTTTTTGTTTGTTTGTTTTTTAGATTAAAGTCAGAATTCAGAGATTAAAGGCAGAAGTCTGAGAAAAAAGTCAGAATTTTGACGTTTTTCCCATATTAAACTGACATATTTAAATATAAATATTTTTTTTTTTTTTTCCAGTGGTCCTAATCCTCCTACGTATCATTGTTGTTCTTCACTTCTCCGTTTTTCCCTCTGTTTCAGCTCATTGTAGCCTGGCATCAAACACAAGCTGTGATGAATGTCTGCAGAATGTGGCTGTAAGACTCCCACCCCCCTGTTGTTTCCTATATCCTGATGTGTTGTCATGGTCAGCAAATAGAAAAAAAAAAATATTCTGATCAGCAGAAATATGCTGGCTGGGGTTTAATGTCTTTTGTACTATTTAGGCCTACTTATTGACCCTTTAATTTTGTATTGTTTTTAAAGTTAAATTTTAGATTTTTAGCCTTGCATCAAATTCTGCAAATATAGTAGAGTATGACTCTAGGTGGCGCTGTTTCCTCTTTACATCCTACCTGTCCTGTTCCCCGTCTTCCCCGATAAAAACATATAGATTTACTTAAAATACAAAGTTAAAAGAATATCTTCAATTTTAATCTGTTTTTATAATGCCAACGAATTTTGTTTGATTTTGCATTGTGACCCGTTTTATTTAAACCCTATCATATTTGGTCAATAATCATGTGATTGTTAGTTTTTTGCTCCTCCCCGAAATGAAATCAACTTTTTATTTAATTTTCTGTTTGATATTGAAATTATTCGATCGAAACAAAAAAGATATATAATAAAACTGAAACTTTATCTTTTGCCAACTCCCCTCATGATGTCACTGCCAAAGCGGTTGAAGAGTGTTTTAACATGCATCTTGCACTGCCATACAAAATGTGGTAACTGCTATGAGAAATTATACTTGTCTTCATCCAAATGGATCATATTTTATCTTTGTTTAGTTCAGTTTTCTTGTTAAACTGTATTAATTTTGGAAAAGCGACCACCCCATCAAGGTGTACAGAGGAAACGGCTCCAGATAGATTGATAGATATGGGTCAGATTTTCATTTCTCCTTTGCAAGTGAACATGCACATATCTAGCTTAGCCTACATACCAATAAAAGTGTTGTGTCTCCCTTCCTGCTGCAGTGCTTGTGGTGCTCTTTGAACCAACAGTGCATTGACTACCCAGTGAAGAACATCCTGCCCCCCAGCAGTGTTTGCCCTCTGAATGATGCACGTTGGGGGGTTTGTTGGGGTAAGACTAAAAAAATTGTCCCAAACTCTTCTGTCAGCTTTTCACGTACCAAGGATATTATTAGTGCACTTTACATGTTGATCTCCACTTATTATTTTTCTTACTATAGTTTCTCACAATGTCATTTCTTTTTTTAATTATGATCTTTTTTTCCTGAATGTTAATATTCTGCAAGTTATTCGGCTGCAGTTTACACTTTAAAAAAAATAATGCAACTGCTTTTGGCATTTACTTAATCATATTTAGTTTACACAATTGTTTATGTCCTACCCTGCTAATATGAAACAATTGTGATAAAGTAACTAAATATGGTTAAGTAAATGCTAATAAGGGTTGCATTATTTTTTTCACTGTATTTTGAGTTTTGTGCATAACTTTTAAGATTTTTAAATGGAATCTTTAGCTTCTAACACTTGATTTACGCACAGAATGTACATGTGTAATGTAAAACTGGTATTCTTTGTAAGCAAAAAAATATTTTATACATTAAATTAGATATGAAAGGATATAAAATTATATAGTGTTAATAAATTAAAAACATTAGAATACTAATGATTAATTATATAAAATTAGATTTTCCAAGGTGACTAATACCCTTTCTAATGAAATCTATCACTATTGTAATCACATTTTCAGTTTATCAGATGTCTAAAATTCAAAACTTCAAAGTAAAAAATGATATAACATTTAAAAACCTTTTGAGTACAACCCAGTCACAAAACACATTTTCTATAAAAGCTTAAAACGTGTCCTGCATCAAACCTATTTTGGCAACAGGATCCTTCTTGTTAGGCATCAACGATTCCCAATGTAGCCGTTTTTGGCATCTACATATTGACAATTGGTTACTTTAACACATTTTTTATGTCCTCCTTCTAAGATGAAAAAATATGTTAAACTAAATATGATTAAGTAAAAGCCAAAAACTGTTGCACTTTTTTTTTTTTTTTTTTTCAGTACAGGAATTAGCCTATTTTCTAGCTGGCATGTCAGTCAGTGAACTATTGCCAACATTGGTTGTTATTGTTGTAATTCTGAGCCTCTTTGACCTTCTCAGCAGTTACAGGAAAATTTTATTAAAATGTGGGAACTCTTGCTGTGATTTTTAAAAACACTTTAAAATCAGATTCTATCTTGGAAACTTTTAACTCCAAATTGAATAATAGTCTTAAACCCTCGCAGGTCAGATTGTTGCATAGCTGGCTCTTCTGTTTGTTAATGGAGGATTACACCTTTCTTCTTTTAAAATTTACAGTCAACTTCCAAATATTGATTATCACAATGTCGGTGCTGGCTGGAGTCATCATCATCGCCATTCTCGTTTGCTGCTTCTGCTGCTGCAAGTGTGAGCGAATTGGGTAAGCAATGAGTCTAAGGAAACACACTGGTAGTGCAATCTGGTTTATAAGCAAATGGTGGTGAGCGTGAGACAAAGGCCTATTATTGTGAACGGCTGGGCTGACACCGCTATCTCCAAACAACTTTCTCTCACTGATGAATAAAGGCTGGGTTGGAAGAGAAGAAATACACTTTATTTTTTTAATGCTCAGTATTTTTTTAAACTTTTTTTTTTTTATTTCATAAAATTTGGAAACACAATTTTGAAAACATTGTACCTCCTGTTATTTGCAAAGTTTAAAAAGTAGATTGTCTTGAAAAGTATTTAAAGCTTTTAAACTTTTTCCATTAAAAGCTGCAAACTTTAATGTATTTTATTTCAAGGTGACACGATGGAGGAAAGCAAAGAAAATAATTATAAGCTGAATGAAAATATGTGGTTTTATTTTTTCCAAGTAAAAAAAAATTTAAAAGTCTGGTGTACGTTTTGTATTCTGCAGAACCACCTTTTGCTGCAGTTACAGCTGCAAGACCTTTAGGATATGTGTCTGCCAGCTTTCAGTGTCTAGAGAATAAAGTGTTTACCTATTCTTCTCTGGGTAACAAGAACTTGAATGTGTTAAGAACAGAAGTGTTCAGGTTTACCTGTTGGTGTTCTAGAACAGTCTGCACTTTTCTTGGGCAATTCTATTTATATAGAATTTATATAGGCCTATAATTTAATCTATAAACCATTGTATTGTGGCTCTGGCATTATGCTTAGGTTAGTTATCCCAATAAAAGAAGTTCTGCCAACAATTTAGAAATGTTTTGCCTTCTCCAATTGGTTTTCTGCCAGAACCGCCCTGTATTTCATTCCATGCTTCTACCAATCAACTCTTCCCTTTCTCTTTCAAAGCAAAGCTTTCCCACAGCATGGCACTACCACCGCTTTTTTTTTATTTTTTTTATTGGGGCTGCTTTATATTTCAGTTAAAGTACTGTTAGCTTTAAACAAATTGAATAATTCATTTCTGATAACAAACATTTTAACTTTTACTTCATCTAAGTAGAACAAACACTGTCTTTTGGCTTTCCGTCAGCAATGTATTTATTCTTGTCCCTCCTCCATGCTGATCAGAATTAAATTCAGCTCAATTCAGCGTGCAAGGGCATTCACAAGTCCATTTCTCCTTGTGCACGCTCTGTTTAAAAGTTGCTGTTTGCACTTTCTAAAAGAAAATTTGCAATTTTTCCACTATGTTAGACTCGCCCCCAGTAAGTGAAAATGGGGACGAGCATGTAGGACGGCCTTACGTAAACATATCACCAGAATGATTGACAATTAGGAGGACCACTTATTTTGATGATCCACCCAGAAAAAGAACATTCTCCACTATATCTTTAAACCATTTCATACTTGCACCTATAAAATAAAACTGTGATGATTATAAAAATACGTAATCTTCTTTTTCAGAAGCAGCAGAGAAGATGCGCAGGTGGAGAGACAGACCCGAGCGAGGAAAGCCCGTCAGAAAGCCAGGTGAATGGCTGTTCAGTAGATGTTTGCTAAGTACCGAATCAAACCCTCCCTCTTCCTCTTTCTTCTGCGAACATCTAATTTGACCTATATTCCATTAATGCCACTTAAAAAAAAAAAACAATTTCTAACATACTCTGCACATAAATCTTGTGAATTACACATAACATTAAAATCTAGCGTACAAATAAACACTCTGTCCATGTTTTCTTCCTCTTTAGGAAAACAGAGATCCAGATGAGGCATGATGAAATCAGGCACAAATATGGTGAGACCTGTTCCTTCAATGTTTCTCATCATGACTGCTAATTAAAGTGGAGAATATCAGTAAGAGGTTTTAGGATCATTAATATGCAATTTAAACAAAAGTACAATAAAGATTTATTGGATAAGGTAGGTTGAGAAACATGTTTAAATGGTCAACATTGCCATCTAGTGGATAAAGGCAAAACTGTAAAGCACACATTTAATCCACTTTTAATAATAGAAATAAATAATAATAAAAAAAGCTATTATGTTTTCCTTAACTTTGGTCTTTGATCACATGTTTTATAGGTATAACAAAGGAGAATCCATATGCCCGAATGAATGATCATTAGAAGGAATGTCAGTGAAGAGGATCTTAATGGTGGCAGTAACAATGAGACTTGCCTGTACAGAGTGTCTGTTGTTAAACTATGATCTTCTGGATTAATTTCACTTTGACGGAGTTAAGAATGAAAACTTTCTCTTTGCTTATCGTTTGTTTATGGGAAAATGCTTTCTAATGTCTGGGCTTGATTAAAAGGACTTAATATGGTTCTGAACACATGTAAAACAAGCTGTTCAAGAACAAAATGTGTTAAGAGAGAATTTTATCAAACAAGACAAGCCAAAACATCTGTGTTTTAGCTGGTCTGCTTCGACCCAACAGTATTTACAGGATTCACAAGCCTCACTTTCATACTCTACTACTGCGGTCTACTTAAAAAGGCCCATTAACAGGTTTATGTTTCATCTGATTTTAACCTTTTATTAGATTTGTTTTAAAGTCAGTGTCCTTTAATCACATGTGAATCAGATCTTTGTACAGAGAATTATAAAGTTGAAAATAAAAAGAATAAACAAAAGTTTGCTTTGTTATCTTTGATTAATAAAGTCATTTCATTTCGATTGATTAAAAAATTGGATTTCTAACAGAAATGTTGAACCACTGCTGAGTATTCGTCAGCTATTGTATGACTGGATCAATGCTTTGTGGCCTGGAGGCCATCAGCCCGTGGCACTGCTGAGGTAAACAGTTCTGTTTGCAATACTGATGGCAACATGGCAGAGAGAATCTTAAAGGGCTTTAATTTTAAAATACATCAAATGTTGATTTTTGCTGAGTAACATTTTGCTGAGTAACATCTTTGTCCCAACATTACAAAAAGTGACTATAACCTCTCTAAGGGGTTCAGTTCCTGTGTGTTTGCTGCCAAGTAGAACCTGTGTTTGTTCCATGTAGAAGTTTGTGCTGGTACCAAGTCCTGTTTAAAAATGAAAACAGCATCTCCATAACGGTTGTCAGCATAAGGAAGTATTTAAACTTTCCACTCTTCCTCCAGACTCTGGGACCTTGATTCCATAATGAAATGTAAACTTTCATCTAGGAATTGGGAAAATTGGGCAAAATCATATCCATTTCTATTTCCCTAAAGTAGTTATAAAAAGACACATTTAAAGGAGGCTTTGTCCCTAATGTAAAATTTCACATTTTCTAACAGCTTTAGAGAAACCTGATATCAAGTCTAAAAAAAAAATAAAATAAAAAAGTTCAGTGTTTATAAGAGTATAACTAAATTGAAATGGAGACCATTTCTATGTTTTTTTAAACTCGATATTTTTAAAATCTCAACATATTGCCCAGCCTTACTTTTATTTGAGGACTCTGGATCACTGAGCAGCAGTTCGATCACTTTCTCCTCATCTCAGGTAAAACGCTTGCACAGAATCCCATATCTTATTTAATCATAGCTTACATGCTAACATCATACCTTATCATGACCCAGTTGTCCAGTTTTGTAATGCTCAAATTGTATGTATTGTTGACAAAAACCAACTGTTCCAGTTGTAAGATGTTGCTCTGAACTATGGTATAAATAGTATAGAACAGATCAAGGCTGTATCCTTTTTAGTTCTAGTTTATTTTGACATTTCTGTTTCAGTTTCCTTCCATTATTAAAATAGGCAGGTATTATTTGCAGATGAAAAAATCCTTCCTTTGGATTTGCTAAACTTTTGATGTTTTTTTCCTCTCATTAGAAACAGTGTCACTTGAGGATAACCTTGTTTTCTCTCTTGACCTCAATGCAGAAAAGAGAGAAGTAATATAAAGTGTTGAAGATCTGCACTCTTCTTGACAGAATGAAGCTAGAAACCTGCTGAGTATGCCAGGAACCAGGGCGTGGTTTTGGACTTGGACCCAAATTGAGCAATCCCTTACAGTGGTTTGGTACACTCTGTAAATTAATCACCTTCTAACCTCAAACTAGCATTTATTTTATTAGGATTTTATATGGCAGACCAACACAACACAAAAGGTATAAATATAAGATTAAAGTTTTTTATTTTATAAAGAAATAAAATTGGAAATGTGAGATGTTTTTATGTTCTGCCCTGCTAAGCTGATACTTTGGAAACCCCTTTACTGCAGAAATAAAACCATAAGTATTTATGGACATGTTTCTATCATCTTTGCACTAGACTGACACTAAAGAATTCAAGCTCAAACAGAGGGAGTGTCAACAAAAAAATAACAAAAAAATTGAAAGTCATGCTTAGTTTGATTTAGGTCTGGACTGGTCTGGTGCATTCTAACACATGGGCACATTCTGATTCAATATATCATATTGTACCCCATGAACTTCCAAGAGATAATGAAAAAAATCAAAAGCAAAAGAGAGAATTGTGGATCTTATCAAGGCTGGATAATCTTAGATTAAATCTGAAGCATGAAGATAGTCTGTTCGACTGGTAAAACATCTCTACCAAATTAAAAACACCATGGAAACGTGCAGCTGTCATAATGCTCATGAAATGTATTGGTTCTGTGTCACAGAAAGGCTAAATGTTTAGACACGTGGAAAAAAACAGACATCAGTTAAGTTTTGGTCCAAACGGTTCTGCTAACTGATCAATAACCCTAAACCATTATTTAAGTTACAAAACAAAAAAAAAACAAGGACAAAAAAGTTAGTGTGTTGGAGCAGTCGTCAAAATACCCTGATGTTCTATGCAAATATGGCAGCCTGACATATTTAGAACAGTTCTCTTTAGGAATAATGGGCAAAAACAAGCTTAAAACACAAGTGTACATTTACATAGTAAATGTATGTTTATTACATTTTTTTAACTCTCAAAAGATGTGAAAACTAGCATTATTCTGTCATTATGTAAATAGGTGGGAGATTGCACGACTAACAGATTGCTGACCTCCTTTGTTCCCCAAGCCATCAAGCTGTACAACTCCTCTCTTGGGGGAAGGAGGATGGGGGACCCCCTCCTTGGACATCTTATGAAAAACATTACCTATTGTCACTCCTGTGCAATATTCCTCTCTCTCACTGTGCCAACTATTACACATGCCAACTACTGTGTAGCCTGTATAATTGTCACTTATTTATATGGTCAGTACAGCTCCACAATGCACGTGCAATAAACCAAGTCAACTACTATGTAGTCTTACCTTAGCTCTCTACTGTGCAGATAGTTTTATATTAAAGGGAAACATATTCCAGGATATTACAACTTTTTTCTTTTTTTATGCTTTTTTTGTACTAAATACACTCTTTTTAAATTGTCTGTCATATGTATTTTTTTAATGGCATCTTGCTTTAACTACTTGTACTCTATATATACTACTGGAACCAGAATTTCCCTGAAGGAGTAATCCCAAAGGATCAATAAAGCTGAGTGCAAATCTTGAGTCTAATATAAATATTAATTATAATTGACCTGAAATAAGAATTTTTTTTTTTTTTTTTTACAGTGTCCTGTCTGGCAATGGGGCAATAAGAATAATTGTCTTGATACGAGCCCAACAGATTTTGCTTTCACAAGTAATGCAGTACAGCTATTGCCATAGTTTTCTGCTTGATTTATGCATATAAAACTTTATTATTCATGCAGGGAGTATTACAGATCATATGGACACTGTAATGTAAGTAGAACAGGAAAGGAAAATCAAAAGAATTGAGAAAAGATGAAAGAAAAAGGTTCCAGTCTGCCTCATCGCATGCAAAGAGATGTAAAAAAGAAAAGCACAACCAACGGATATAGTATAAGAGATACAATAAATTAACACCTTGATACTATGGCTAAGGTATAAGTGGTATTATTTAATCTGACATGTATACTGTGGTAGCTGAAGATAAGAATATGGCTTTGTGTATGGAAGTGAATCTCTAAGTACCTGTAGATAATATCTACAGGAATAAGAAATTAGAAATAAGAAATATTTTCATGTTAGGTGGTTAGGGGAAGAAAACAATAGTTATTTCATTATGTCTGAGTGAACATCTGGTGTTAGCTATTATGTCTGAGTGAACATCTGGTGTTAGCTGCTTTTTCCCCTATAATGAAACAAATGTGAAATTATATTAGGGAAAAAAATCTGTAACCTGTTATATATTGTGACTCAATTGCCTGCTGTGGCAGTCTCCTCACCAGTCTGCTATCTACTACATCCCAGCCTTAGTAATAGAAAAAAATAATTAATGTCCAAACTTAATGTCACAAAATTAATGCTTAAGCATAAAATCCCAAAAACAATACCTAAACCTAAGTGTAGCGCCCCCTTGGGTCACAGATTTTGTTATAACACACGTTCCAGTTTTCTCGCGGGAGTGCGCAAAATCTCCGTACGCGTTCATGTATCCGCGCGCCCATGAGGTCGGCAGATCATGTGACCTCAGTAGGACCAATGAGAATGAAGAATTTCTACTGCTCCAAACCAAATAGCCGGGCCGTAGGAGGTGAGAATAACCCGCCTCAGTAGCATCGACAGCAGGCTCTACGTTTTTTCTAGACACCGGAGAAAGTAGCAGGATGTCTGAGGAGAAACCAAAGGTTGGTAAAGGGTCCGAACCGCGAAAGGTCCAGTTTAAGGGGAATATTTCATTCCCGCTGTAAGTTATCCCCGAAGGCTGCGGTAATGCTGTTTGAGCGGGTAGACGGGGAAAACAAAGGTTTGCGGATATTCTAGATTTTTGCGCATATTCCACCTAAATTTCCTCTTTCTGACTGATTATCAGAAGGCTTTCATGCTAAGCTGCGTTTGAAGCAAGCTCCGTTTCCAGATACTAGCATAGAGGATGTTTAGGGGGGGGTTAACCGTTTGCGTTTTCCCCTCAGTGTTTGCGCCATTGTAGCTCTGCGCCAGTTTTCAGCATGGGCTTAGCATGCTAAGCTAACCTCCTGGATGAACAGAGAAGCGGCATGGATGCGGGGAACGGTGATCATGGCAGCTGTAGGCGCTCATGGTGATGATGGCTGATTATGTTGCAGGAAGGAGTGAAGACAGAGAACGACCACATCAACCTGAAGGTGGCGGGTCAGGATGGATCAGTGGTCCAGTTTAAGATCAAGAGGCACACTCCTCTCAGCAAACTCATGAAGGCTTACTGCGAAAGACAGGCAAGCCACCTCAAATACTCCCTGTTTGTCTCCAATAGAGATCCTTGTTTTTTGTTTTTTAAACATTGTCATCACAACAGCTGCCTTAAGATGTAAAATCTGACTAATCAGGATTGTATGTTTCTCTTTCCAGGGGCTTTCAATTCGTCAGATAAGGTTTAGGTTTGATGGACAGCCGATCAATGAAACAGACACACCTGCACAGGTTGGTTCAACACATCTCACATGTTGATATAAAGCAAGGTTTTATTTTTCAGATTGATCAAAATTTTGCATGTTGGAAGCAGTCTGTTAAGCAGTTGCTTCCATGCTATGTTCACCTCTACTTTCAGGGGCGGAGTTAGATGGAGGGCCAGGGGTGGCCACCCTTAAGGTTGATTTATGCTTTGAAACTAGGTCGTCTGCGTAGTAGGGGTGTAAATCACACCCATCAGGCTAGACAATGTTTCAAATTTGAAATTGATCAATGAAAGCTGTAATATCGTTATGCATTTTATTTGAGAAACAACAGAAACTAACAGAAGTAGAAAAGTTGTACTCCACCTATTCCCATAAAACCTCATTCACTGAAAAATAATAATGCCCCCTGCGTTATAGATTCTGAAAGGCTTTGCAACAAAAAACTGCACAAAATCAGTGCAATGAGTGCAATTCAATACCTCGGGTCCAGAGTGTCGGCGTCCCCGCCCCCTCTGGAGACAGTCTGCTGCACCTCTCCCAAATTGTAGCTTACCACAGACAGTGTCGCAAACAGGAGGCCAGCTTGTTTTGTTTTTATGACCAAATTGCAGAAAAACAGCTTGTGAAGTTTGACCCGCTAGAAGAGCGAGGTGCGCGAGAATGCTGGGACCCTTTTTCCACCCGGATCCCTGCTCTTTTTGGCCCTCGTGTCCCTCCATTGTCGGACAAACTCGCCCCCACTTCCTCACCGCCTCGGCCGTATCTAGACCCACAGCGTGTACGTGTAGCCCAGACCACGCTTTAATATGGGGCATAAATCAAAAATGTCTTCAAGCTCGCTGCGACACACTGCTGCGGGAGGATAAGCAGGAAGCGAGGTAGGACGGCAAAATAGGTTTAGTGCCACTGCAGCACGGGAGTGAGAATTACACCCATGAGCAAATGGATAAAAATAGACTGGAGAAAAAAAAAAAACATGAATCAATACTCTTGCGGACCTGTCGATGCATTGTATCGTCGGCTGTTGGATCGATGCATCGATACAAAACGATTATTTATACTCCTACTGCATAGGTGTCGCAGTGAACAAAAAGACACCCCCTCCACAGACACTCTGCTGCACCTCTCCCAAATTGTAGGTGACTGCAGACAGGAGGCCGGCTCTTGTTTTTATGACCGCAATGGCGGAAAACAACTCGCGAAGATGGACCAGCTAGAAGAGGGAGGTGGGCGAGAACGCCGGGACCCTTTATCCACCTGGATCCCCGCTCTTTTTTGCCCTCACGTCCCTCCGTTGTCGCACAAAAAGCCCCCACTTCTTTACCGCCTCGGCCTTATCTAGACCCATAGATTGTCCCTCTTGTGTTGTGGCTTGGAATATAACATGGCACAGACCACGCTTCAAAATTGAGCATAAATCAAAGATGTCTGCGTCAAGCGACACGCTGCTGGGAGTATAACCAGCCCTTTAGCCAATCGTTGGCCACCCCTACCATTTATTTCCCTCTAATACAGATGGTGGCAAAACATTAATTTTTTCATATATTAACAACAAAAACACTGGTTAATTATGCACATCAATATACTAACATTGAAGATGATAAATACAGAATTCATGCTCTTTTCAGTCATCTGGGAGTCTTCAGTGAAATCATGGATGAATAACTTTTAATAAAAACATTAAATTATCAATTTATGTAGATATTAGTACTTGTAAATATCAGTTTTATGCAGAATAATTACTGATAAAAGTAGGTAAGTAATGACAATGGAAAAGATGTTCACCCAAAACTCAAACCTAAAAGAATTTTACCCACTATACCTTTTATATAGAAAGCACGGACATTTTAATATATTCCTCTATTTGTTTGGAAAGACTGTAGAAAAGTATAGTTTGTCTTTGTCTTCATTTTCCTGTTGGAACAGTAGGGATTGACCCTGAGGTTTTGGTGCATATCTACTTTTGGCCACCCCTCAGTGTACTTTGGTTATTGCCTGGCCACCCTTATTAAAACTTTCTGGCTACGCCTCTGCTACTTTTCCAGTAAAGTGTCATGCTGCAACAAAAGACTGCTTTTCACTTCAGTTTAACTCAGAATGGCACCAAGGTTGTTAATTCCTGATTTGTGTCAAAACTATAAATGTTTTACAAATAGATCTGTAATGTTTTAACTTAATCTTTAATGCACTAAGTCCTCCCCTTGAGCTATTTTTCATAACTTTAACATAAAGATGGAGTCATCTAATTTGCCAGTCAAATACATGTGGTAAAGTTTAAAGTAATGTTTTTTTTTCTATTGGGTAACCAAATAATGAAAATCTTTCCCATTCTTCCTGACAGTAATATACATGTTACATTTTTATGGTCCAGTTCATTAAATGTAATGTGAAAATCTATATAAAACATACATTTTCAATTGATTTATGGCGGATATATCTATAGATGTTAGATTAGTAGTTCGGGATACCGGGGGTGGGGTGGGGGGGACTGATGGTAGGAAGGTGGCAAGAAGGGAAGGAGACTATGAAGGATGCAGAAAAGGCAGCGAATAAAGCCATGGAAATACACTATAATCACAGATTAGAATAAAAGTATCCCCGCGTGACTGAAGGATTAAAGTATAAGTAAGGAAGGAAGGGAGAGTTGGAGGGAAAGAGAGGAAGTCCACTGTAAGAAAAGGAAGGGAAGATATTAAGGTGACAGCAGAATGATGAAGCAACTTTATAGATATTTTTCCACTCAAAACAATTTACAGTAATAATAACGGCATAAATCCTATTATATGCAAGCAGTGGTTTAGTCAGTTTAATGATGCTTGGCTCACTGGTGCATTTCAGTGTTCTTGGTAGAAGTGATTTGTACAGCAGGAAGGGAGGGGTTTCCCCATCAAGCATTTGTCTTTAGAAATGTGCAACTTGTTAAAGTGGGTTTATTATTCTTGATTGACTGCTGAAAACTTAAACAAGTTTTGCACCAATACACATCGGAGATCTTCTGTTGGTTAATTCAGTAGATTCATTGTCTTTTTATGGTACCTAAAACCTGTTTAACTCTATCCCCAAAAAGCTCTTATTTAATATTAAATGAAATGAGTTTACTGTCATTCATTGTGCGGTTAAGTCTACATCCAAGTTTTCTGGAATCTTTAAGACTTAGTGGGAAATTATATCAAACATGATGATAAAGTATTTAGGCTGCATCTTAAAATTGGTAAGGTCTTCATCCCATCTATCTGTTGATGTGAGGAGTCTGTCCCCTGGAACATAAACCCTGCAAGGACCTTTTTCAGTTCCTCTCACTGCTGATGCAATAGGCCGGTCTGCATGTACCAAACAAGTCCTACCCCACACACTTTACTGCTAACTGAGCTATGTCTGCGTTTAATTTTAAACTGAAGTTTCCCAAATGAGTAACTTTCATTCAGTGACCAGGCTCCCAAGGAGTGGATCTCTGAGAAGGGGCAAAGGTGAAACTAAGGCCCAAACTGTCCCCTAAGCACTAGTTCTAACACTAAGCACTAAATGTCCAATTGCGTGTTTCCATGGAGGACCCGCCACATCGAGGGCCGTCTCAAACCACGTAGACTTTAGAGCCAGTGGACCGCTCAGCCCTTAAATAGCGACTCTGCAAAGGTGCAGGCTCACTGGAATTTGGCAGCAAGTGTAAAAGCCAACTTGAGGCAGAGGAAATGCTGCTTCTTCATCACACTGACAGAAAATCATAAATTAGGAAAAAGAATAAAAAAAAAAGTCTTTAATCTCTAAAGGGAAATGATTCTATTTGACCGTATGTTATGAAATTCAGACTTAATTCAAATAAAATGAAGTTACTCAAAATAATAAATAAATCAAACGAATTTACAATAACTGGGCTTTGCAGTCATCTCAACAACATAACATTTTACATGTAGAACTTTTTCAAAATGCTTTAATAATTCTTTGGTCTGAACAGGAATTGCAGCAGCAGCAGTGCATTCCACATGACTTAATTTATTTCTTTGTCTTGTTGGCACTAAGCCAGTGAGACGCTCGTTTCTTCTGGACAACATAGACATAGGACTCAGGTTTTGTCAAGACAGCCTTCTGGGATAACTTTAAAATGAAACTTATCATTCAGGATACCTTGTCTGCTGGCTTTTTTTGTTCATTCAAAGCACGGGTCTGTTATGCTGCGGTCTCTCCCAAAACTTAGCGTT